CTCCCTCTCTCTCTCGGGGGTTGAAGTTAAGGGTTGGATGCGTGGTGGATGGGCGCGTGGTCCGATAGCGAAGACCAGAACGCTCCGCAACCGTCACTTGTCCACAGTCTGTCGAGTGGAGCACTTTTCACCGCCGTTGTTCGCGCGACATCGCGATTTTACCCGGAAAAAACGAATGAGTCCACTCTCGATCGTTTCCACAAACAATTGGCGACAAAAGCACCAATATCAGTGAGGATTGATTGTTTTTTTTTTCCCCCCTCTCTTCGAAGAAAATATGATTTGCGTTCGATTTTTGTGCGAGATTCGATTTGACGTGTCGAGAAGCGCGGAAATAATCTTAAAGTTCCTGTGCGCTGCTTGATAAAGATTTGCGAGTGCGAAATGATTGTCAAGGGACGAAGAAACGAACTTCCTTATCCGGGATAATCGGATACAATTCGACTTGCACTTGTTCAGCGACAGAAAAAGCGGTCTACTAAACTGATAAAACATACGCAGAATGGAATTATGGAGCCGATATGTCGTGTCGATCGACAACGACACCGGTCTGACGAACCTGAACGAGTCCGAGTACATAAGGGATTTTTGGGGCCCAAAATACCTGCCGTTGCAACTCGTGTTGCCGGTCAGCCTCGTCTACAGCGTGATTTTCGTCACCGGTATATTCGGCAATGTAATCACCTGCATCGTCATCACGCGAAACTCCATCATGCAGACCGCCACTAATTATTACCTGCTCAACTTAGCGATATCCGACCTGCTTCTTTTGATTCTCGGTAAGTCAATGTATTTCAACGCGACTGTCTAACTGAAAACAAATAGTTTTTAACTTTCTTATACGTAAATTAAACATGCAAAAATTACTTTATTAAAAGCATGTGCTTTCAGAGAATTTTCAGTGTCTTTTATATTCTTTTAGATACACAATGCAAAAATAATCTTGTTATTCAAATCATAATTTAAAAATAAAACAACAAATGTATATTTATCGCAATAAATATACATTATTAATGTATATTTATAATGTAGACGGCTTATAAATTTTTATTGCTGAATCTGTAAGATCAATATTTTGTGCTAAAAGTTAATTTAAACTTTTAATAAACGTATAAAATATTAAAACGATTAAGATATATTTGATAAATTTTTGCTATCGTATAACGAAAATCCATTTCTAACTCCATAATTTCGAGATGTAAATTAAATTATTCAAACAGTCTCAGTCATATTTCATTTCAAAGTTGTAATCATATAATTGAATTTTCAATGTATTTTACGATATGTTCGAAGCATTAGAGTATTCGAAAATTGTACGATGAAAATAGACGATATTCATCTTGTTAATAAAAAGTAAGCGTCGCTTAAGATACAACAAAAGAGTTTTGACCAATATAATTTTATTCAATATTTCCTAGTATTATTTTTACAAATATTTGTATAACACATATTCGTATTTTCCAACTGTAAATTACTAAATTATTGCTATGTGATATGGATAAAATAGTGCAAATTATTTCGACTTATGGAATCTTATTCTAAATATTTTTTTTTTAATTGTTATTTTAAAAGGAATTGTTAATGTAAATTACTCAAATTACTTAATTATTAAAACGTATATAAAATTTACATAATTTTCTCTATTTTTATAAACTTGTTATACCACTGCTACTTCCGTTATGCCAGAAAATATGTAAATAAATTGTTCACTTTGGTTATAGGATTTTGGAAAGTTTCTTTTTCCTTTAAAACGTACTGCGACTTACAACAAGTTCAAGTAATTTATTTGGATTACAGAATATCTAAAATTTTTTTCTCTCTCTCCAAACTTTGTTTTTTTAAATATGTTATTTGTTAATTCGGAAAATATCCAAAATAATTAATAAAAAATATATTATTTCCAAATTATTTCGGATATTTTCCGTAACGTACAAATATTACTTCGTGTAGCGTCTGACTTATCTCATTTCATACTACTTGACATCGTACATGTAGCTGGAATAATATCTGCGGAAATGTGACGCGTCCGGTATTTCGATCTGAGCTGCGCAGTTATCTATATGTCAGTCTTAGCTTTCAATCATATTTCCTGTTGCTTTTATTTGGCGCCAGCAATTTCATTCGCTGCAACAGTTCGCGCGGAATTCCCAATTTACCGCAATTTATCGTACATATTTTATTAAACGCATTCCACTTGTTATTTCCAATTAGTTAATCATAAGCTGCGCACCAGAGTGCAATAATTATTTGCGCATTAAATTAGCGTGATCGGATTAAACATTAAATTAGCGTGATCAGATTAAACATGTGCGTTGATTATCATGCTTCCGATAACAGATAATAAGACACGTGCGCAGGGCATATGTGCACACGTAAATTGTTCGTGATTATTATGAACTTTATAAACTTTGCCGGAACTGGTCCAATTTAAGGTTCACTCGCTTTTGTTTACGCCACTTTAATCACGATAATTATGTGCGCAATGAGTCCGCTTTAGTCGAAAGCGATTAATTTAATTAGCCACTGATATTGTTACAGCTAAAACAGCGCACCTTGGGCGTGCCAAAGAATAGCCACATATGTTGCTCTCTAAAACATAGTTAGTGTAACCTAACTATTGTATTGTCTCTTCACGCGGGCGATAATTATCATAATGAATCCCGCCATGTATGCCATAATGAAGGTGTATGCAGCACCACGTTCTATTCATTGCCAGTTAATTATTCGATTGAAGAGCGGCATTGCATGTCAAGGATTAATTTTGATATTTTCGCGAATCGGTTCGGCAAATTGGGATGAAAGTTTAGATTTTTATCTTTAACGTTTTTGTCGATCATCACTTGTGCACTTAAACACACACGTGTAATTACCCACTTGAAAAAATTTAATTAAAATTAATCACGTTTATTCAGTTAAATACTCTGATGGGGAATATATATTATTAAATTTATTACACTCTCGCCTCAAATGAATGAACTGTCTGAGCTTGCATTCAGACGCCGCAAATTGTCGGAAGCACGGGTGAATAGCTGCTATTAAGGGATCGATAATAATCGTTTTTTCCTTATTATCCTTTATTGTCCTTTCGGCAGAAATCTCTCGTAATTAATCAGAGAGTATTTTCCCGCGTATTAGAGAGGAAAACGTGCACGACATTTTTGGCAGGCGAGCGCGAACATCAGCATTAGTCATCGACTTTTACTTCTCGCGGTAGATAAATCACGCGCGCACAATTGTTGGTAAAATGCCGTCCCGTTTCGGTCTCGTATTTTGACCGCGGTCCTGAAAAGGCGCGCTTAACTTAAACAGTCCATTTCTCAAGATTATAAATGTGATTAACGGCGAGGAGTCCGAATATCACTTGGACAGAATCATCGCTTAATGAATGTGTAAACATAGCGGGAGAAAAACTTTTTATGGACTTCTAATTCGCAAGATAAATGCGAATTCTCGATTGTCGGCGAAACATCGCTGTTATCTCTACGTTTATCTCTTTTTCTCTTAACCGAGCGTCGGTCATCGTATTAATATTTATGCTTTGCAAATCGCGACGTCAAATTTGTTGGAATAAAAAATGGAAGCTTTATCGACAAAGCGTTCCATTGCGAGACAATTGTTCAACATCAAATCAATGGCACGCGGAGACAATCGGATCACATTGTTTTTCCTCTCCGGATCTCTTATGCAACGCAGATGCGCAACGTATCGTTCTTTTTTTTTTTTCTTCGCCGTATAATCCGTGGTCGATATTTTACTTCGTAAAACTTTAACACCATCACGTTTTCGAAACATTAAACGAGTCCTGCATCTGTCGGAGTTTACAGGAATGATTAACGATTGAGCACTCACGTATTGCACAAGACCATTATTCAATATCGTACGGATACACGAAAATATCATTAGAGATCGATATCATTCTCCAGACTCTCGCAAATCCGTTTCTATGAAATATATATATACTCCATGAACGATTACTTGCCAGAGATATTTTTATTTTACGAATTCTGACGCTGCAACTTCCTTCGAGGATAGACAATATGCGGAAGCTCCGCCCGTCAGATTTACAAGATCGATTAACGGCGATCTTGACGTAGATTAACGTATACAGCAAACTTGTATCGTTTAACATAATTCCAATGCAGCTGACGGGACATCATTCTCAATTTCCGCAACTTACCGATTCTTAAAATATGTAACATCGCAGTCTACGTTTCTGTCCACTGTCCATTTTTCTGTTATTTATCGTACATTTTATCGTATTTAACGGCATAATATTTGCCAGCGATAAAGTGCAATATACCCGCGCTGATAAAAAAATAATCCGTTATATCGCAATTAAAATCACGTAATCAATATTGAGCCCGAGCCCATCGTTTCTGTCCTTGATTTTTCTCTATTTTCTTTCGAATACCGGGTATTCTCTCCCGACAAATAGCAGCTCGAAATTTGAGTTGTTATTCATCTTTAATGCAACTCACGGCCGCGCGCAATCGTTCGGTTTTATTTAATATGCCACTCGCCTACGCACTTTACGGTTTCCTCAAATGTACGGCTAACGCAAGCGTCGTTGATATTTTTGTGCAACGCAAACATCCCAAGCCGAATAAAAATTGCAAAGCCTTCAACTCAGTCCAGTCATTGAACGGTACAAATCAGTAATATTACATTTTAAGAGTCGATAATTACTTATTTTGTATGAAAAATAAAATTTAAATATATATTTCTATATTCTACAGAATCTTTCCGCGAAATAAAAAAGTTTTTTTTCTCATAAAGAAAGTATTGTGGGAAGAAAGTATTGTGAAGAAGACGGGATGAACGGAGCTTATGACGAGTACCGTACGTGAATATTTTTTTATATTAGCTCCCGACGCGTGTTCGAAGACAACTTGAAGTGGCGAAACTTTTTTAATGACTTTAGAGATTGTAGTTAGAATTATATCTCAAGATAAGTTCGCTGTCGAGATTAAGAATCGGGTCATGCTTAGTCCGCGTATCAGCTCGGAAATGTTGCGGAAGTTTCGCAGCAGATCGGATAGAGAAAAGGGGGGAGAGGAGGGGGTGGGAGCAAAGTGGCAAATGAAAAACGACTTCGTGGAAAAGCTCTGTTTCTCATCTAAATGCAGAGAGATTGCCTTATATGAGTATACCTATATGTGCAACGAGTGCTTCGGGCGCTACATACTTGGCAGAGATTTCACGCTCTTGATGTACAGAATGTCTCAGATTATCCGCATTTCCTTGGTTTGAAGGAATTACATCTTCTCATTAATTTACTGAAATTCAGTCCGATTAAAGCGAAAGTGATCGTACGTATTTGAATAGCCAAATCAAATTATACAAATTGAGAAATAAGATGATAAATTAAGAATCATTTCATTTGCACGATACACTCCGATGTTTGCGGATAAAGCAAGTTCGACAGACTGTATACATTATATTTCGTCGTTGGATTGTCGTGAGAAAAAATTGGAACACTTCGTATCTAATAAGTTACTCTCGTGAGAAAAACTTCGATCTCACGACGAAATGTCATTTCGATTTCGCGCGAGAAACTTCTCTGATTACAACATCTCGTGCAATGAGAGAATATTTTCGAACTGGAGAAATTAATTGCGAATTTAATTAAAGAAAAATATTTGTTTTGTGCATGTGTATAAATGTACAAGTATCGCACAGTTAATGAATCCGCAATTCTTATTAACCTCCCCATCAATATTTTTCCAATATTTAACAATGCGGAAGAATGTAAAAAAACAAAAATAATTGGCAATCGAATATGCTCGCGCTATCGAATTTGTAAGTGAAGCTATACATTTATGTCTATGTACACACAGCCGAAGCACTGGTTGAGCTCCTAGTTTTAACTTTTAAATTTCTCAAGTAGGAATCTTTCCCGATGCCTTCATTACAAATAAGCTAATAAGAGCCTATTAGTGAGTATATTGAAAGCCAATGTCTATGCAGGAACACGTTCTATCGCGTGATTTGAGGATTCGTCACGTACTCGACATTAACTGCGGTAGATTTCGTGATCTACGAAGTCGCATAGAACGCGGACGACTCCGCGCGGCTAATGCAATTCTGCTACACCTTCGAATTTAATTGTGAATCGCAGTGTATCGTGTAACTTGTCACTATTAGATCGCGCTTGCAAGTATTGATTCAATGAATTCTGATAAAATCATCACGCTTGTGTACGATTCACGCGGATAATATGTATCGGATTGTACCGTTCATCTTTCATCTGTGCATTATTTAATTTCTCCTTTTTTTATGTATCTTACGACTGCGACGGATTTGGAGCGTCTCTGACGCAAGCTATAATCTACATCGCGGATCCTTGATAAAAAGTAAAGTAAATAATGCAGAAATAAATAATGGAATGCAGAAGGTTTGAAAAATTTCCATCAAAGAGAAACTCTGTTAGTATATTCTTATTGAACAATTTAAAATTTGCAGAATTTTACATTAAAATTTTTCAAACATTCTCAAAATAATCTGTTTCAATATTGTGTGGGATTTCTATAATTCTGCGATGTTGTAAAACAAAAATTACCGATCAGCAAAAATGTGTGCCGCGAATCATTAATATGTATTTAGATATGTATCATCGGCAATAATCGATTCTATTGAGCGCTAATGGCAAAATTAACCCCGAATTGCTGATAAGCTAAAGCTTTTATCGTCAAATGCAATTTGCTTTGTCGCATTTTGGGATGCTACATATCCGATATAGGCATTGGGATAAATCGTTAAATAGCATCACCTTTGCGCTATGTGCCTTGCATGATTCATGAGAGTATGTTTTATATTTTTCGAATCTCTGTAAATATCGGAAACGTCGGCATCGATGTGCGAAGTGAAGTAAAAATAACGCTAGCGGCGTTAGATAATGCATATTAAAGAGATACATAATGCTTCGTGAAATTTGTAAACATTATCAGTTTCCGTGTGTGCTCAGCATAATAACTTATTCTTTAATTTATTCTGGAAATAAATGGCGAGTCTTTATGCATCATAAAATATATATTGTATATTAATCATGGTAGATTGTTGCATATGAATATCGATTTATACGAAAGATCTCCGATCATTTTCGAGGAAGAAAAATATATGTAAATAATTGAAAAAAAAACAAGTTATAATTTTGAGCACAGAAAAGAATATCATTCATGCGCGCCATCAATATTAATTTCCTATATATACGAAATTAATAAAAAATTAGAAGAGTCTACTTTTCGAAAAAATAATTTATTTCTTTCGTATTTCTCAATGAGAACCTATATATATATATATATATATATATATATATATATATATATATATATATT